AATCACATGTTTCACAACATAAAAAAGATCAACAGTCGATTTTGTCACAAAGTGATAAAATGAGTGTCCATTATGCTTGTGGATGTACTAGTGACGAGTAAAAAGTTCTTTCGATTTTAATAGTAAAAATTGACATGTTTCACAAAAATTTTACATAGCTATGACAGTAGACATGTCGATCGCGTGAAATCTTGACTGACTGGTAAGTTTTATAAATAAACGTATATATATATATATATAATTATAAAAATGAATCAAATCCAAGTACTGAAACTGTTTAATATTTCCTATTCTTTCTTTAGTCTAGTAGTTTTTGCTACAAAAATAATAGAAGCGGAAGAGGATGGAAGAAATTTGTTCTAGTTGACATGACCATCAACAACATCAACAACATTTCAAATAGCTAGTATGGTTGATACTATGTAATTATTAAAAATTCTTACATATATATTTACCAATGATTTTTATTTTTGTCTAACATTGAGAATCTTTTTCACCACCGACGAAATCTAAAAGCTATACTTGTCGTAGATGTTGCGATGTTCGAATTCTGAGTACAGAGGGGAAGGATCTTGCTGAATGGGAGTTCTCATGACCTATGAAAATAATATCGGACAGGTGCCGTTTGAATCGTATAAAATCAGTCCATAACCTTTCTATACTTATAAAGAACCCATACTTTTATAACGCTATTCATACCAACAATAACAATGAAAGGGATTATGCTTTTCATGTTAGAGAAGATCTTGAAGTAACAGCGAAGATAAAGAAAATAGAAACAGATGGAGTGTTACTAGAACTACATGCAACCTTCCAGTCGGGAATCACTACAATAATAGGTAAGGTTTTAAATTTTAAACTTTAAATATATTTATTTAAATAACAAATGTAACTTATGATTATTTTTATTTATTTGTTTAAAAAAAGTATTGATGAAAGGTGTAAGGCCAATTTTGAAGTTCAAGAAGGTGGCGTGGTAATAATTAAAATTAAAAATAAAGAATATAAAAAAATAAAATATAGAAATTCGAAAGCATTATTTTTTTTATTAATATTAATATTAAAAATGAATAAAATATAGAAATTCGAAAGTATTTTTATTAAATGAATAAAAATAGAAATTCAATAATATGTATTATTTTTTTTATTAAATGAATAAAAATAAAAATTCAATAATATGTATTATTTTTCAGTAAATTTTTTTCCCTTCTATATAATAATAAATTTTACTTTTATATGTTGTCTCATTGCGATTTCTATGATTATCATCCAAAAATTTGTAATTTTGGAAATAAGTTGATGATTCGAAATCCCAAATTTCTAACATTTACCATACTCAAAAATCACATATTGTTATTATGTAGACTTTAAAGATAGATAGTCGATGATTTAAAATATCAACAGTCTACGCATATATAATTAATCATTTGATTTAATCTTCACCAGAATTCAATTAATTGAAATAAAAGCTTTTGTAGCCTTATCTTCCTAATCTATATATTATGCTTATACATGATTATCATTCATTGATCTATAAGGATGGAGCGGTTCCAAATCGGTTCCAAGTAAATTGCTAATTCTAGAACTGATTTTTTCCTTGAAAGCTACTAATTAAATTTGTTTACAATTATTTAATATGAGTTACTTATTGGAGATAAGTAACAAAATTTCTTGAGAATCCAGAATCTTTAGAATTATAGGAATTTTGGGACCGGTTCAGACTGATCTCAAATAACGAAATTGATAGTTTTGGAGATGGTTTTCTAGTTATAGAATTTATTTATACCAATTTTTTAAAGGGGTTGTTATTTATTGTAGTTAAGCAGTTGGACTTTTCTAAAATTAGCAATTTACTTGAACTGATTTGGAATCGCATCATCCCTATTAATCTATAGACTTTAAAGATCGTCAACAATTTAAGAAATGTGAATTATTGTCATATTTCAGATTTGGCTCATAATGAAAATATCTGATTTGTATTAAATATTAAATATCATGAGTCCTTTTAACCATTAAATTATTATTATTACCTTTAGCTTTTCTTGGACATAAATATATCCATCCATATGGTGGTGATAATAATCAATCCAAAACTTACTATTCTAGTTGAATTAAAAGATATACAATCATACATTTTTCTTTTATGAGTAAAAAATATAATATCAAGTTTTTCTATTGATAAAGAACTCTGCCAATAATTTACCAACAGTTATTCTAATTTTAGAAACAAAGCTTATTAGTAAAGGATCACTAATTTATTATATGATTTACTAAGGAATTATACATTTGGGGTGTGGGTCATAAAAGTTGACATTGTTTCCATTGTCCATGCCTCATTAACTACTCACCAACTCGATGACGTTGGTGATTTCTTGTTTATGTTATATTGAATTTTTACAAAATAATTTATTGTGACATCATTAAGAATTGAAGGTATAACTTTCAAAAGGTAATTTCCGTTTTTTAGAGTAATAGTGCCAATAGTGCAAGGAAATAAATAAAATAGTTCCTTCACTTGCTGTCCGTTTTTGACCATGTGATTTGATAGTATTGTGGGAGGCTGTCTAAAAATAGTGTATCAGCAAAAAACCAAAATCACGTAAAGACCTTTTTTTGAAAAAAATTACGAATCATGCTATATATTAATATATTTTTTGAAATTTGAGCGCGTGGCACAGCGACAGGAGGTCTTCCAATCCTAGTAATATAGAAAGTCATGCATTTATTGTAAATCAAAAGTAAAAAACTATATTTACTTAGAAAGATATGAGCTGTTGGATTTGTCAGTTTCTGCTATTTAACAAGCAGGCAGTCCTATAAAATTCATATATAAAATAATTAGGATGTGTTCCAAAAGAATACCTTACATAATATATTAAATGTAAGAAACAAATAAATTTATTTCCTTAATAACAATGGTAGCTGCTACTGACTTAATTTACCTTCACTGTATTTATTTATATCCTGAAGAAAAAACTTAACAAGTATATAACTATTACATATACAGTGTTCGCGTTTGTCGATCTATAATTATCTTTTATTGCTTTTTTTAAAAAAATGTCTTCGGGAAACAAAAAGAGAAAAGCAGAAAAAGAAATAGCCGATATTGCTGGATAAGTGTTTACCATAAGGATGGTAGTGGTTATCGCCACTCGTCGCCACTCTAGTTATTAATAAAAGTTGTTTTTTTACTTAGTGTTATAGATTCTAAATCAAGTAGGAAAGGAAAAGAAAAGGCCAAAAATGAAGAATCATCATCTATTACATATAATTTAAGAAATAGAAATCTGGTATTTGATTCAATTAAACTTTTTCCTAATAAATAAATATATACATACATATATTCACACAATTATTTTAGTAAAAAGATGAAGGCAGAAAACAACATCAAGCTGAGTTAGCAAAGCAAAAACAAGCCGATGGCTTGGCTCGCTATATTCAACAAGAAGATAGTATTATAAAAAGGTGGTAGAATTAGAACTAATTGAAAGTTATAGACAGAGTATAGATATTCCAAAGGAGGTAGATGAGTTGAAGGTGAATATGATTTTATTATTATTATTATCTATCATCTAAACAATTAAATAAACAATATTTTGGTTATGTAATTATTTGTCTGATTAGATTTATGTTGACTCACTGCAGAAAACAATTATCCTTCTGTTATTTGGTTATGCAGTTCTGATACAACAAAAGATGTTCAGAAGACAATTGAAAATGGTTATAATTGCCTACGGATAAATTTTTTAAGAATAGAGAAGAGTTATTTGATGATTCAACTATGTGGCACATAGGTTCATTGAAATTTAAAATTATGGATGATGAAATGAGCGAATTACATGATAAGATAAATGCCCTCAAAAAAAGGTATATAAAATAAATAAATAACTTTCTTAACAAAGACATAAATTTAATTTTATTTAATATTTTTCAGAGTAAAAGCAGAAAGACTATTAGCTGGATTGGTTCTGCAATCTGAACTCAAGATAGATGAATATCTGTATATATATTTAAATATATACAGTGCACGAAAAAACTTTTCGGAATAAAATGTGTTTCAAATAAACACAATTTTCTTTTGAAAGATTTTAACTGAAAATCTATTTGACAATACAAACAATGTCATGGGAAACCATTGGATCTTTCAACAAGATAACTACCCTAAGCATACAGCTAGGAATACTTAAAAACTTCTTGCACAACACTGTCCAAAAAATGTTGGATTGCCATCAAATAACCCAGATCTCAATTCAATTGAGAATTCGAGGCAAATTTTAAAGGGACGTGTTGAAAAGCAAGCCAATAAAGTGTTAATTAAAAAAAAAGCAATTGCTGCAGAAAGTTTTCGTGAAATAATTCAGAAAGAATGGGAGAGGATTGACAAAAAATTTTTTGTCATAGTATGCCCGTCAAGTTTAAATGAAGTGATTGAGAAAAATGGTAATAAGATAAGCTACTAAGTAGTTTTAAATGAACTTATCAATCAAATCATAAAGAGCACATCTATAAATTTTCATGTACTGTTTGCTTTTTTTCATTGCACAATAAATAAAAATTCCATTCTGAAAACTTTTTTCGTGCACTGTATATTTAAATACACTTCCTGGTCATAAATATAAGGACACTTGCAGATCATCGGAAATAATTGAATAAAGAAACATGAAAAAAAAT